TTCTTGGTGTGGTAGTTAAAAGGATAAGATGCTATCCATGTTCTTCCGCTTGTCCATTTCAGGGTTGTGGGGGTTTCAACACCACTGTCCTGTTGCGCCTTCATTACTGATTGACCTCTAGACATCCAAAGATCCAGCCTCCTGCAGCAAGTAGCACCAAGCTGCCTGCTTGCATACTGAAAAATTAGAAGTTTGGGGAAAAAAAAAACAATGTTAAAGAAAGCATGATGTGATTGTCAGTTCTTTGAGTGACAATTTCAGAGATACGGGCTGTCATATTGAAAAAAATGCTTATTATTAGAAATAAACCACTACAAAATGTATTGGGGATGGATTGTTATATTCTGAGTATACCACACCTTCAACCCCCTCACCTAAACTGTTGAAAACTGAACTGCATAATTTTTGGGAGAATATATATGAAAAAAAAAATCCCCTCTCGCTCCTGCAGGGCAATCTTTATCCTTCGAGCTCGGGTCCTCTACCAGGACCCTCTCTCAAGCTCTCAGACACACAACACAACTACACAGTCTGAGGCAGGAAGTGAAATCATGACTCTCTTGTTCTTCTAACACCATTTACCTGCTGTTCACTTTGAATCTTTGGTTCTTGGTATTCATCATTTCTGCTCTTTTGTCTCTTTGATCTTCAGGCTTTCCATCGACATGTCCTTGCTCCTGTTTCAGTGGGTAAGAAGAGGCAGAGTGGTCTGTCCGCTGGCTGTGGAAGAGCTTTCTCTTGTGCCTAAGAAAGCCCGACCATCACAGAGAGTATTGTTGAGGGCTGTCAGTAGTTTGGCTTCCCTGCTGAGATACTGGACAGTCGCAAGGTTAGACCTGACTGGGAGCTGCATCCCTGCTCAGGGTCTCATTACTCTGCTGCTCCATGATGGTCCTCTAACAGTCAAGTAAATGTCTTTCCTGAACATCACAGGCCAAATAAAATGTAATTTTTACTTTAAAGCTTATTTTATATTTATAATCTCTGCAGACTGAGTGAAGAGAGCTTCCAGCAGCTTCTGTGTCTCCTCCATGAAATCCAGGACAAGGACTTGACGTTGTCCTTCTTGAGTAAGGTTGGTGGAGACCTGACCTCCTGCTGTCTGAACTGGGAGCTTCTTTACTATCTGCTGCAGGAGTCGTCAGCTCAGACCATCACTGTGAACCTGAGGAAGAACCTCTTCTTACAGGAGGAAACCACACGTCTGCTTCCCTTTCTGGACAGGATTGTGTTTAAAAGGTGCTGAATGTAGTTTGATCTTTTACCAAACACAGTTTCTGCTGTTTAATC